AACGGCCACAGAAAATGGGGGGCAGCCGCATGGATCATGGACGTACGAGCGACGTACATGACCATTCCAATGCGGCGCTCAGCAATCCCATTTTGCTGTGGAGAGGCCGGAAGCGTAAAGGTCTGGCGGATGCCCTGTGCACGACAGAAGGCTCCCAGAAGGGCAGAGGAAAACTCCCCGCCTCTGTCGGAGTGCAGACGCAGAAGAGGAAAGTCTGAGCCGAAACTCTCTCTGAGCTGGAGACGAGCAGCGCGGATCCAGTCGATCAACACCTCAGTGACCTCGCCCTTGCTGCGCAAGGGGAAGACTGTGGTGTAACGCGAGTATTCGCCAACCACCAACAGGAAGTAACGCGCATGACCCTGGCCACGGACGCGGGCTGGGCCCCACACGTCCATGTGAAGAGTCTGCAATGGAGCCTCTGTCGGAGGAAACTCGGAGGAGTGAGGGGCAGCGCGCTGCCGTCCCTCGACGCAAGGGACGCAAGTGGGGGCAGGCCCCGGAGGAAGGGGGGGGAGGGACCGGGGGAGACCAGAGACAAGGACACGGGAGGCCATGCCTCGAAGAGGAGGCAGGGAGGGGTGACCAAGGCGGTGGTGCCAGAGAAGAGTCTTGTGGGACAGGAGGCGACACGAGCAGGGCGCAGACTCAGGACCAGACCCTGACGCAGCGGCAAGCACCTGACTCGACGCAGCTACCTGGCCAGACGCAGACACAGGAGGAGACTCAGTAGACAGTGTGTACAGGCTCGAACCACGGCTTCCGGGTAAACGTGGCCAAGTGGCGGCCCGTCCAAGCACACGTGCAGTGGGTCACTCGCTGACTAGCAGGAGTGAACTGGTCAACCCCCTGATCCTGTAGATCAGCTCCACTCACCAAGTTCGTAGAGAACGAGGGAAGGTAGAGACCTGACAGGGAGCCAGAGGGGGCTGCCGGGCACGGTAAGACAGTGGAGAAACTAGCAAGGACAGGACCCCCAGAGGGGTCCGCCAGGGAGACTGCAACCGGCCGACTGAGCGGCGTAAGTGTGGTGCGGTCTCGAAAGAAGGAGCGGGAAGCACCCGATTCAAGGGTGAAGGTGTGAAAGACCTGGGCTGACGCGGTACCTGAGGGAGCAAACTCACCAGCACCTGGGGCAGCGTACGCACTCGCACCTAGCGCAGCAGTCTCACCAGCACCTAGAGCAGCAGCCTCAATGCCCGGGTCAGGCGGAACACACAGGTAACAGTCACCCTCATCACTAGTAGACAAAGCATACATGGCAGCAAGGATAGCATCATAATCAAGATCAAAGACAGCAACCCCCGCCCTAGACGGGTCTCCCCAGCGAGGGACCTCAGTGGCGTCGGGGAACTGGTGACGCCACGCGTCCGTCAGGCGGCCGAAGCAGCGCTGGGTGGAGTGCAGGCCCCCACACTGCTCACCAGCGCGGTCTCCGGTACGAAGAACGTAGGTGCAGGGGCCAGCACCTCCACCTCGCTGACGCCCAGCGTACAACTCACGAAGCTGCTGAGGGGAGGGGGTCTCATGACTGCGCTGCTGCTGCTGGCGCTGACCACCACCGGAGCCACTTCTCTGTGCAACTCCGCGACCAGCTCCACCAGTGCCTCTGCCGCCTCCGCCACCTCCTCCGCCTCCGCCACCGCCGCCGCCGCCACCGCCGCCGCCGCCTCCACTGCTGCTGCCTACACCTCCACCTCCACCACCACCCCCACCCCCACCCCCACCCCCTCCACTGCCTCCACCACCACCTCTACCGCCCCCGCCACCCCAACGAGCGCCCCTGCCCCCCTTGCTCCTGCCAGTGCGGCGGCTCCCGCTAGGGCAGACGCAGCACCGACCGACTCGAAACCACCGAGGTCGGCCGCAGCAGCAGAAGCAACAGAGGGCAAGAGGGGGGAGGGGGAACACCCCTCAAAGATAGGGGTGCGAGGGTCACCACGAGAAGCTCCTACAGCGACTATGCTCTCCTCGGCCGCTAGGAGACGCTCCTCGAGGAGGTCAACGGTGAGTGTGGTGGGGCAAACTGAGAGGAAGTGGTCCCTGACTACGCGAAGGGAGTCAGGGAGCCGGGTGACTACGTAGTAGAGAGTGAGGTAGAGAGGGGGGGGGTTCTTGGCACAGAACTCAGCAGGAAGCGCAGCGCGGTAGCGAGTGTCACTAGTGCGGAGGTGCGTAATGAGGTCAGTGATTATGGGAAAAGCAGCAAGGTCAGGGAACAGGTAAGGCAGGAAGAGGCAGCTAAGGGCAGCAGTGGCAGGGGAAGAGTAGCGCGCAACTACAGCGTCGTACAAAGTCTGAGCACTCCTGTACTGGCTAAAGTGCGCACGCTCAGTGGTCGGTAGGTGGCAACGCACAGCAAGACGTGCAGCAGCATCGCGTGTGGCCCACTGTGAGCGGACAGTGCTGTCAGCAGTAGCAGGCGGGGCAGGAGAGAGACCAGAGGTAAGATAAAAAAGAGAGAGTCTGTCCGCCCTATCGCACTGTAAGAATAGCTGGAGGTCATCGAGCTAGACCTCAAAGTCAACTGCACGACCCTCAGCATCAAAGGTAAGGACACTAGGGGTAGCCATGACTGCAGGGACCAGCAGAGAAGAAGCTCACCAGGCTGAGGAGGTAGGGCCGGGGCACGCCAGCAGGTGTAGAGGCAGTGCTGCTGTAGGGCAGCTTGGCGGCTCGGGCGGCTCGGGCGGCTCGGTCTGCTCGGGTGGCTCGGGCGGCTCGGGCGGCGGCTTGGCGGCAGCTCAGCGGCGGCTCGGCGGCGGCTCGGGCGGCGGCTCGGGCGGCGGCTCGGGCGGCGGTTCGGCGGCGGCGGCGGCTCGGCGGCGGCTCGGCGGCGGCTCGGGCGGTGGCTCGGGTGGCTCGGCGGCGGCTCGGTGACGGCTCGGCGGCGGCTCGGGCGGCTCGAGCGGCGGCTCGGGCGGCGGCTCGGCGGCGGCGGCTCTTCTGCGGCTCGGTGGCGGCAGCCTGGTGGCGGAGAGGGGCCGTAAGGGGCCTGGAGAGGGGCCGTAAGGGGCCTGGAGAAGGGCTGTAAGGGGCCTGGAGAGGGGCCGTAAGGGGCCTGGAGAGGGGCTGCGAGGGGCCGCACGGAGGGCCGCGAGGGGCCGAGCGAAGGGCGGCAAGGGGCCTCGCGACGGGCCGCGGGGGGCCTTGAGGGGCCGCGTGGGGCCTAAAGGGGGGTTGCGACGGGCCTGAAGGGGCCGCGAGGGACCAGGAGGGGCCTGGAGGGGCCGCGACGGGCCACGCGAAGGGCCTCGAGGGGCCTGAAGGGGCCGCGACGGGCCGCGCGAAGGGCCGCGAGGGGCCTGGAGGGGCCGCGACGGGCTGTGCGAAGGGCCGCAAGGGGCCGCGCGAAGGGCCGCGAGGAGCCTCGCGAAGGGCCGTGAGGGGCCTTAGGGGCCGCGAGGGGCCGTGAGGGGGGGCGCGCGGGGCAAGTACCCTAGGCGCGACTCGGGCAGGGTAGGAAAAAAAAAAATTTACTTGGTGGGCCCTTAGGTAGGATCGGTCCCAGTAGGGAACCAGCTCTATACCATGTGAAGAAACAGGAAATGAATGAACTAACAGAATGTTGGGTACAAGTAGGAAAACCTAGAAATGTTGTACCCCATATTGTCTAACCCACTACAGCCTACATAGACTATAGCATATAAGTTTGACATCGAGGCCCTTCGCGGCCCCATTTGCGGCCCTTCGCGGCCCTTCGCGGCCCCCTTTAAGGCCCGTCGCGGCCCTTCGCGGCCCCTTTGCGGCCCGTCTCGGCCCTTCGCCACCCCTTCGCGGCCCTTCGCGGCCAGTCGCAGCCCTTCGCGGCCCTTTCGCGGCCCTTTGCGGACCTTCGCGGCCCCTCGCGGCCCCTTGCGGCCCCTTCACAGCCCTTCGCGGCCCTTCGTGGCCCTTCGCGGCCCCCCTTCGCGGCCCTTCGCGGCCCCTCTTGCGGCCCTTCGCGGCCCCCCTTTGTGGCCATTCGCGGCCCCTTCAGCAGCTGCCGTAGCCCCTGCTGGCCCCTACTTGCGCGCCCCTTCCGTGCCCTTGCTGATGCGCCCCTACTAGCGCGCCCCAATTGGCCCCTGCTGGTGAGCCCCTGCCGGCCACTGCTGGCGTGCCCCTGCCGGCCCCTGCTGACGCGCCTCAGCCGACCTCTGCTGACGCGCCCCTGCCGACCCCTGCTGGCGTGGCCCCTGCTGGTGCGCCCCCCTACTTGTGCGGCCCCTGCATTCACGGCCCGCCCCTGCACCCATCTCTGGTAAGCCGAGCCGCGCCGCCCAGCCGAGCCACGCCACCCCACCGAGCCGCACAGCCCTACTGAGCCGCACTGCCCAACCGAGCCGCACTGCCTTGCATTGCCTTACTGCTTCTGCTTCTACTGCTGCTACTCCTCCTACTGCTGCTATGGCTAGTCCTACCATTCTCACCTTTGACGCTGAGAGACGTGCAGTTGACTTTGACGTGTGGGTTGACGACCTACAGCTCTTTCTTCAATGTGATTCTAGGGATGGGGTATCCCTTTTCAATCACACGTCCGGTGTTTCCACTGCTCCTGCTGCCACTGCTGACAGTACGGTTCGCTCAAAGTGGACCACTCGTGACACTGTTGCTCGTCTTGCTGATCGTAGTCACCTGCCGCCTGCTGAGCGCGCACATTTTGGCCAGTACAAGACTGCTCAGTCTTTGTACAACGCTGTAGTTGCACGCTACTCCTCCCTTGCTACTGCTGCCCTCAGCCGCCTCATGCTCCCGTACCTTTTCCCTGACCTTGCCGCCTTTACCACAGTTGCTGACCTAGTTGCTCACCTTCGCACTAGTGACGCCCGCTACCGCGCTGCCCTTCCCACTGAGTTATGTGCCAAGAACCCCCCCCCTGTGAAGAAACAGGAATGAAAGAGAAGAAGGGGGATTGCACTACCAGCAGTTGGGATACAAATAGCAAACCCTAGAAGGGTTGTACTCGCTATAGAGCACCCCACTACAGGCTAGAGCATAATATTCTGACACCCCCCCCCATGTACATCACCCTTTACTACCTAGTCACCTGCCTCCTTGACTCCCTTTCTTCAGTCAGGGACCACTTTCTCTCCCTTTGCCCCACCGAGCTGACTGTCGACCTGTTAGAGGAGTGCCTTGCTGCAGCTGAGAAGAGTATCTTAGCTGTAGGTGCTTCTCGTGGCGACCGTCGCACCCCCTTCTTTGAGGGGTGTTCCCCTGTTCCCCTTCTCCCCTCTGTGGCTTGTGCTACTGCTGTCGACCTTTTTGGCACTGGAGAGGTTGGGGCTGCGTCTGCCCCTAGTGGGAGACTCCGCAACAGCAGGGGCAAGGGGAGCAAGGGTGGTGGAGGGGGTGGCGGGGGAAGCAATGGAGGAGGTAGAGGAGGCGGAGGAGGTGGCGGTGGAGGTGGGGGTGGTACTGGGAGTGGGGACGTCAGTGGCGGCGGTTAAGGTAGTGGCGGCGGTGGCGGAGGTGGTGGAGGCAACGGCAGCGGTGGTGGAGGTGCTGGTGGCGGTGGTACCGATCGAGGTGCAGCCGCGCACCATGGAGGCTTTGGTGGCAGCCAGCGCCAGCAGCAGCTGCGCTCCCGTGAGACCCCGTCGGTCCAGCAGCTTTGTGAGTGGTACGCTGGGCGTGGGAGGTCTGGGGGTGCAGGTCCATGTACTTCCATTCTTCGCATCGGCACTCGTAGTGGGGAGGTGTGTGGGCTCCCACACACTACGTAGCACTGCTTTGCTTGCTTGAGTGACGCTTGGCATGCCCAGTTTCCTGACGCCGTTGAGCTCCCTCGCTGGCATGATCTGCTTTTGCACAATGTGCCTATCTTTGATCTTGATTTTGATGCTATCCTTGCTGAAATGTATACTATTGCTTATAGTGCTGAGGGTGACTGTTAACTGAGTGTCCCGCCCGACCCAGGCATTGCGGCTGCTGCTCTAGGTGCTAGTGCGTCTGCTGCTCTAGGTACTGGTACGTCTGCTGCTCCAGGTGCTGGTGCGTCTGCTCTCTCTGGTACTGCACCTACTGAGTCCTTGCACACTTTCACACTTGACTCTGGTGCTTCGCGCTCTTTCTTTAGAGACAGCACCACACTCACGCCGCTCAGTCGGCCTATTGTGGTCTCCCTTGCTGACCCCTCAGGGGGCCCAGTCCTTGCACACTCCTCCACAGTTCTACCATGTCGTACGGCCCCGTCGGGCTTGCTCTCGGGACTCCACCTCCCCTCGTTCTTCACAAACTTGGTGAGTGCAGCTGACCTCCAAGATGCGTGGGTTGACCAATTCACCCCTGGAGGTCAGCGTGTGAACCAATGCACTTGCTCTCGGACAGGCCGCCACCTGGCCACGTTCACCCGTCGGCCAGGGTCGAGTTTGTACACACTGACTACTGCGCCTCCTCCGGTCTCTGCTTCTGGTTAGGTAGCTGCGTCTAGTTAGGTATTTGCTGCCGCGTCCAGGTCTAGTCGTGCGTCTGCCCCCTGCTCGTGTCGTCCTTTGTCGCACGAGACTCTCCTTGGCACCACCGCCTTGGTCACCCCTCCCTCCCTTGTCTTCGAGGTATGGCCTCCCGTGCCCTTGTCTCGGGTCTACCCCGGTTCCTCCCTCCCCTTCCTCGGGGGCCTGCCCCCACCTGTGTTCCTTGTGTCGAGGGCAGGCAGCGCGCCGCTCCTCACTCCTCCTCGTTCCCTCCAATTGAGGTTCCTCTGTAGACTCTTCACATGGACGTGTGGGGCCCAGCCCGCGTCCTTGGACAGGGTCACAAGCGTTACTTCCTGCTGGTCTTTGACGACTACTCGCGTTACACCACAGTCTTCCCCTTGCGCAGCAAGGGTGAGGTCCCTGAGGTGTTGATCGACTGGATCCACGGTGCACGTCACCAGCTCAGTGAGAGTTTCGGTTCAGACCTTCCTGTTTTGCGTCTGCACTCAGACAGAGGTGGGGAGTGTTCCTCCGACCTCTTGAGGGCCTTCTGTCATTCGGAGGGCATCCGTCAGACGTTCACGCTTCCGGCCTCTCCACAGCAAAATGGGATTGCTGAGCGCCGCATTGGCATGGTCATGGACGTTGCTTGTACGTCCATGATCCATGCGGCTGCTCCCCATTTTCTGTGGCCGTTCGCGGTTCAGTACGCTGCGCATCAGATCAACCTTCAGCCTCGTGTCACCTTGCCGGAGACCACACCTACTCTACAGTGGACGGGGAAGGTTGGTGATGCGTCTACGTTCCGTGTCTGGGGATCTCGAGCTTTTGTCCGCGATACTTCAACGGACAAGCTGTCCTCCCGTGCCGTTCCCTGTGTCTTCCTTGGCTTCCCTCGTGACGCACCCGGGTGGAAGTTCTACCACCCCACCTTGCGTCGTGTTCTGTCCTCTCAGGACGTCACGTTTGACGAGTCGGTGTCGTACTACCGTCTCTTTCCCTACCGCACTGCCTCTCTCCCCCCCCCCCCGCCGCTCTTCCTAGCACCAAGTACTCCCCACGTAGACCCCCTCCCCCCCCAGGGTCCTGCCCCCTCAGGTGTGTCCCAGGTAGACCCTGCCGAGCTGGTCGAGGTAGCTGTCGACTCAGGTGCCGATAGAGGTGCTGAGCCTGCGGGTGCGAGGACTGGGGGTGCGGGGACTGGGGGTGCTGAGCCTGAGCGTGTAGAGCCTGGGGGTGCTGCGTCTGGGCGTGCTGAGCCTGGGGTGCTGAGCGTGGGCGTGTGGAGCCTGAGGGTACTGTGTCTGGAGGTGCTGAGCCTGCGCGTTCTGAGTCTAGAGGTGATCTAGGTGTCCCGTCGCGGCGGGAGCCCCTCTCTGCACAGCAGCTTCGTGAGTGGTACTCTCGGCGCTGTCGAGGTGCTGCTGCTGCTGGTGCTGCTGGAGCAACTAGAGGTGCCGCTGCTGCTAGAGCTGCTGGTGGAGCTGCTGGAGCTGCTGGAGGTACTGCTAGAGCTTCTGGAGATGCTGCAGGTAATAGCGCTGCTGGAGGTGCTGCTGGTGCTGGAGGTGCTGCTAGTGCTGGAGCTGCTGGAGGTGCTGTTGGTGCTGGAGCTGCTGGAGGTGCTGCTGGTGCTGGAGCTGCTAGAGCTGCTGGAGGTAATACTAGAGCTGCTGGCGGTGCTGCTGGTACTGGAGGTGCTCCTTGTGCTGGAGCTGCTGGATTTGCTGGCGGTGCTGCTGGGACTAGAGACTCTGGGGCTGAGGGTACCGGTCCGTCCTCTGTTGTTTATGGAGGTGCTGCGCGGCCGCAACCGTACTACGTTCCGCTCCTCCAGCATGTTCTTGGCTCCCCTCTTGCTCCTGGTCCTCCTCCTCCTTCCCTGAGTCCACCGCCTGTCTTGTCCCAGTCGTAGTTACAGCCGGCCTCTCCACTGCCTGGTCCTTCTCCTTACTTTCAACCGACTAGAGGTCTTACGGAGCATCGTGAGCCTGAGTCGCGACATGTGTCGCCTAAGACTCGTTCTGCGTCGCATGTCTGTTTTGTTCACGCTGGTCGTGTTTCGCGTCCGCGCCCTCCTCCTGTCCCTGGCACTAACTCTATGACTCTCCTTCCTTCCACTGCTCCGCATCGTGTCCCTCTGACGTCTCCTCCTGCGTCCTCACTTCCTGCCGGTCTGGACCCTGCGTCTGACTCCCTCCGTGCTGCTAGTCCAGCTGTCACTCATTTTCTGGCCACAGCTGTCATTCACCCTTTGTTTGAGTCCATTACTGCGTCTGCTCTTGTTACTGAGCTTGTTGACTTTGCTGTAGCCTGTCGCTTAGACTACGCCACTAGTCTTGTTGCTGATTCTGCGTTTGCGTCTGTCTTTCCTTGGTCCGTCGGGGGTGAGTGTGCTCTTGGCACGGACGTTGTGGAGGACAAACAGGAGGATTTTGAGTGCTTTGCCGCTTCTGTACCTCATCTCGTGTCCATGCTGATTGCCCCTGAGGGAGACCCGGATGCACCAGACATCCCCACCCCGCGCTCTTACGCAGAGGCGATAGAGGGTCCCTCCTCCTCTCAGTGGCAGGCAGCCATGGACGCCGAGATGGCTTCGTAGAAGTCCACAGACACCTACGTCGACGAGGTTCCCTCGCCTGGGGCGAACATCGTCAATGACATGTGGATCTTTAGGGTGAAGCGGCCGCCTGGTTCTCCGCCTGCCTTCAAGGCGCGTTACGTTGACCGTGGCTTCAGACAGTGACAGGGAGTTGACTTCTTCCAGACCTTCTCCCTTACCCCGAAGATGACCACTCTTCGGGTACTGTTGCACGTTGCTGCTCAGCGTGACTACGAGCTCCACTCGCTTGACTTCAGCACAGCCTTCCTACAGGGCAGCGTGCGCGAGAAGATCTGGCTGTGCTGCCCACCTGGCTTCACTGGGTCGTTTCCAGCTGGTACCAAGTGGAGCCTCCGGCGGCCAGTCTACGGTCTCCGCCAGGCACCCCGTGAGTGGCACGACACACTCAGGACGACTCTTGCTGCTCTTGGTTTTGCTCCTTCAACTTCTGATCTTTCTCTGTTTTTACGCACTTACACTACTCTGCCGCCGTTCTACGTTCTCGTGTACGTAGACGACCTCGTCTTTTCTACTACTGACAATGAGGCACTCGCCCACGTGAAGTCCAAGCTGCAGAAGAGACACACGTGCACAGACCTGGGTGAGCTAACAAGCTATCTTGGCTTGCGGATCACCCGGGACAGAGCACAGCGCACCATTACCTTGACTCAGTCACACATGGTGCAGCAGGTCCTTCAGCGCTTCGGCTTCACCTACTCCTCGCCACAGTCCTCTCCTCTGCCTACCAGTCACTCGCTCTCTGCTCCACCTTCGGACGAGTCCGTAGAGCCGAGTGGCTCATATCCAGAGCTTCTGGGCTGCCTCATGTACCTGATGAATTGCACACGACCTGACCTCGCATACCCTCTCAGCCTTCTGGCTCGCTACGTGGCTCCCGGCAGGCCTCGAAAGGTGCAGTGGGATGCTGCAAAGAGGGTGTTGTGATACTTGTGCTGTCAGAATAATATATAACTCTATATATTGTTTTATAACTGCCTGTAGTGTAGAATACTGTAGTCATAGAAGTTTCTGTTTGGTGGTGCACCTTTCTTGTTTGTTCTTACCTATTTGTACCCTCGCTCAATATTGAATCATCCTCTTTTGTCAAACTCTCTCGACCCCTTCCTCTCGTAACTCTCGTTCTAACCAACACCCTAGTACCTAAGTTTTAACTACTTCTGAGATGGTATCGAGCTAGATTTCGATCAATGGGCCCACCAATTTTTGACCCTGTCATGGCGGCCCTCCCTCCCGACGACTTTCTACTGCGATCGGGCCGTCAGTGTGACCGTCGCGTGAAAATCCGTGACGGTTTCGATCGTCAGTGCGATCGACGGGGCGAAGGCGGCGCTTTGCTCGTCGCGCTGCCTCGTCGCCCCGTCGTTCGCGGCCACGCTGCCCCGACGTCGCCTCATCGCGCCTCCGTTTCGGCCCCCTATTCCGCTCGTCGCGCTCGAGCAGCTATCCCCGCCCACCCTCCCGTGGTCCCCACTGCAGCTGTCGCACTTGCTGCTGCCGTGCGCGCTCCTACTGTGGGGGGAGGTTGTGGGAGTGGCGGACCATGGGGGAGGTGGTGTGTCGGGGCGACCGCTGTGAGCAGTCTGCAGCAGCTGCCGTCATCATTTGTCGCCCCATACGCGACTGTCGCTGTGGGGGGGAGGGTAAAGGGGTGGCGGGAGTGTACCCGCAGGAACCAACCGATGCCCTCCTCTCTCCTCTCTCTCCCTGCAGCGCCTGTCGCTGTGGGGGATGGGGGGGAGTGTGAGGGGTTGGTGAGAGAGATTTTGCAGCACCAACAGCCGTCCCCCCTCCTCTCTCTCTCACTGCTGCGTTTGCAGCTGTGGGGGGGAGGGTGAGAGAGGGTGGCGGAAGACAGCCGGGTATCTGCTGCTGCCGCCCGCTGCTACTTTGGCACCTCCAGCTGTCGCCCCTGTCGCCACCTGCCTTGTTTTCTGTTTTCTTCTGCTGGGGCCTGCAGGTGCTGCCGTCGAGCTGCTGCTGTCCTGCTGCCTGATGCAGCCACAGAGCCTGCTCCTCAGGCGACCTGCCACCTCCCACACCTGTTACTACTTCTTCCTTGGCTGAGGGTTGGCTACAGCTGTTTCTGCCACTTTTGCACCGGTTACCACTGCTTTTGCCTGCATCTGTTTCTTCCGCTGCACCTGTATGGTGTACCCCATTATGGGGGCGTTGACTGCACTTTCTTCCCTACAGGCACTTATGGGGGCGTGTCAGAATAATATATAACTCTATATATTGTTTTATAATTGCCTGTAGTGTAGAATACTGTAGTCATAGAAGTTTCTGTTTGGTGGTGCACCTTTCTTGTTTGTTCTTACCTATTTGTACCCTCGCTCAATATTGAATCATCCTCTTTTGTCAAACTCTCTCGACCCCTTCCTCTCGTAACTCTCGTTCTAACCAACACCCTAGTACCTAAGTTTTAACTACTTCTGAGATGTGCAGTACATCGGGCATGGGGCTCGTGCTTGGAGGACGGGCTCGAGTTGTCCTCACTGGTCACGCAGACGCCTCCTGGGTTGACGACTTGGCTACGCAGCGGTCGTCACAGGGTTACACCTTCAGTCTTCGCTCCGGTTCTGTCTCTTGGCGGTCTACCCGCTCTTCTTCTGTTCTCAGCTCCAGTTGTGAGGCTGAGATCTACGCTGGGGCCATGGCTGCACAGGAGCTACGCTGGCTCACCTACCTGTTGACGGACTTGGGAGAGTCGCCTCGTTCTCCTCCAGTTCTGTACGTCGACAACAAGGCCATGCTGGCCTTGTGTCAGGAGCACAGATTGGACACAGAACGAAGTACATTGCTCTGCGCTACTTCCTTGCTCGAGAGTTGCAGCAGCGTGGCCAGCTTCGTCTTGCTTACGTGGCCTCTCAGGCCAACACTGCTGATGTTTTCACCAAGGCACTTCAGCCTTGTGATCATCAGCGTTTTTGTACTGTGTTAGGCCTTGTACCTACTGTGCCTCACTTGCTTTCTTCTTGACTCTGCCTGTACTGTACTCTATATACATATACCCGCATGCTTACACTTGCTAGGTTGTGTTCACTGTATTGTTTGTTCTCCTTTATATAACTCTGCATGTGAACTGGCCTTGTGGCCATTTGCTTGTGCTCAGACTGCGTCGTGACTTTGTGATCCACCCTGAGCTTGCTTTGCCTTTCTTGACTGGTCTTGTGACCTCTAGTTCTCCCCCACTTTGCCTATGGGGGTGTGTCAAACTTATATATGCTATAGTCTGTTCATGTTGTAGTGGGGTATTCCTTAGAGGGTACATCACTTTTGTGTTTTCTACTTGTACCCACCTGCTTTCTAGTTCATTCATTCCTCTCTTTATTCTCACAAATGTATGTGAGAAAATCGAGCCCTCGAAGCAGCTTCGTTGCACTTCTGATTGTGAAAGTAAATCGCGGCCGCACATCGCGACTGTGTGTTTTGTGGTTCAGGTTAGGTATGAATCTGTTTTGGTTCATCGAGTCCAACGTGGTCTGTTCAGATTCGCTGGCAAAAACTTTGTCGACCCATTCGCTCGATCGCAAAGTGCCGACTTTGAAGGTATTGATTATTGTTGGACCACCCTTTTCCTACATATTTTGTGGCGATGATCGATAGCTGGGTAACACGTAATCAGCGTCTACGCTCGCCTACATGGTAACATCCACTAGGTTACTCGCAATGGGAGTTATATTGTTTCATTAGTTATTGGGTTAAGAACTGCGGTTATATAAACACCAAATTCATTTGTACGTTTCACATATACTGTTTGTTTTCTTTTTGATACAATGAATATTGCAAAAAAAATATATATATATTTTTTTTTAATTGTACAATTCCAATCATTGCGCGTCACAACCAACAAACCTACTAATCTCCAAATCTAGAAATCCTCCACTCCATCATTGCTAATAAATATGCAAGATTGTCCGTCCGTCAATTTCCAAGCGCTGTGGGTGGCGTTTGTCAGAAGAATGAACGAGAATGAATGAACTATGAAAGAGTTGGGTACAAGTACTAACCCTAATTGGGTTGTACCCCATATGGGCTACCCCACTATAGCCTATACAAAGTAAACAATATAACATTCTGACACACCCCCATAGGCAAAATGGGGGAGAACAAGTGGTCACAAAACCAGTCAAGAAAAGCAAAGCAAGCTCAGGGTGGAGCACAAAGTCACCGGACAGTCCGAGCACAAGCAAGGGGCCACAAGACCAGTTCACATGCAGTGTTATATAAAATGTTATGTTGCTTGCTTTGTGTAGGCTATAGTGGGGTAGCCCATAAGGGATACAACCCAATTAGGGTTAGTACTTGTACCCAACTCCTTCATAGTTCATTCATTCTCGTTCATTCTTTTGACACAAAGGGCCAGAAGGCCAGTTCACATGCAGAGTTATATAAAAGAGAACAAACAATACAGTTATCAGACCCTAGCATGTGTAAGCAAGCATGTATATGTATAGATAGATCACAGTATAAGCAAAGCCACGCAGTGAGCAAGTGAGGCAAAGTAGGTACAAGGCCTAACACAGTAGAGAAGCGCTGATGATCACCAAGCGGAAGTGCTTTGGTGAATATATCAGCAGTGTTGGCCCTAGTGGCCACGTAAACAAGACGAAGCAGACCACGCCGCTGCAACTCTCAAGCAAGGAAGTATCGTAGAGCGATGTGCTTCGTTCTGTGCTCCATTCTGTGCTCCTAACACAAGGCAATCATGGCCTTGTTGTCTACGTAAAGAACTAGAGGCGAACGAGGCTGCTCTCCCAAGTCAGTCAGCAGGTAGGTGAGCCAGCGTAACTCCTCTGCAGCCATGGCTCCTGCGTAGATCGCAGCCTCACAATTGGAACTGAGATCCTAAGACGAGTGGGTAGACAGCCTGGAATAAGAGCCGGAACCGAGGCTGAAGGTGTAACCTTATGACGATCGCTGCGTAGCCAAGTCGTCAACCCAAGAAGCATCTGCGTGACTAGTGAGGACAACTGGACCCCGTCCTCCAAGCAAGAGCCCTATGCCCGACGTACTGCACAATTAGCGCTACACCCTCTTAGCAGCCTCCTAGTGCTCTTGTCGGTGTCTCTCGGGCGCAACATAGCGTGCAAGGATGCTAAGAGGGTAGGCAAGGTCAGGTGGAGTGCAGGTCATCAGGTACATGAGGCAGCCCACAAGCTCTCGAATCAGGCCACTTAGCTCTACGGACTCGTCCGAAGGTGGAGCTGAGAGCGAGTGCCTGGTAGGCAGAAGGAGTGGAATGTGGCGAGGAGTACCGGAAGATGAAGCGCTGAAGGACCTAATGCACCATGTGTGATTGTGTCAGGGTAATGGTGCGCCGTGCTCTGTCCCGGGTGATCTGCAAGCCAAGATAGCTGCGTAGCCCACCCAGGTCAGTGCACTTGTATCTTTTATGCAGCTCCGGCTTCACAAGGGCCAGTGCCTCAGTGTCACCAATGGCAAAGACCAGGTCGTCAACGTACATGAGGACATAGAACGGCGGCAGCGAAGTGTCGGTGCGTAGAAACAGCGACGGTTCAGCAGTAGAAGCAGCAAACCCTAGAGACGCAAGTGTAGTCCTCAATGTGTCGTGCCGCTCGCAAGGCGCCAGGCGGAGACCGTAGACTGGCCACCGGAGGCTCCACTGGGTCCCTGCAGGAAACAACCCAGTGAAGCCAGGTGAGCAGCGCAACCAGATCTCCTCGTGCAGGCTGCCCTGCAAGAAAGCCAAGCTGAAGTCCAGAGAGTTCAGCTCGTAGTCACGCTGAGCTGCGACGTGCAGCAAAACCCAAAGAGTGGTCATCTTTGGGGTGGGGGAGAAGGTCTGGAAGTAGTCGACCCTCTGTCGCTGACTGAAGCCTCGAGTAATGTAACGCGCCTTGAAGGCAGGCGGAGAACCCGGAGACCGCTTCACCCTAAAAATCCACATGCTGTCGACTATG